TCTATAATAACGAGAATCCTCTTGGGTAAATCGTATCGACAAATTAAAAATTTATTTTTTTTTTGTTTTCACTCATTTATTCTACTTTATAAAAAGACTATTTTTGTACGGCAATCAAAGCTTACTGAAGAAAATAATGACCGTAGATATTTTTGCAATTACTCAAGAATGGATAGAGCTACAGAGGTGTGGTTTTTATCAGTCGAAAGAGAAAACATCAGGATGTCTTTTTCTCCAATGTTATATAAGATGAAATCGTTTTAACACCCACACCCATAGTAGCATTGAGTTGATGCATATAACTCCAAGTAGGATGATACGGATCTACAACCGAACCTATGTGAGGTGATTCAAATCATGTCAGCAGAAAGAGTTATGACCTTATTTATTCGTATCTTTACTCATGGCTTATCGATTCTAAGATAAGAAAAAAAAGTATACTTTTCGATAGGCTAAAGTATTTTGTATGCCACCTGAAAACAAGTAACGTTCTTCGACATTCGATTCATTTGATCTTGGACTGATAGGATAGAGATATGCAAATAAGTACACCAAGATACACACGTGTTTTAAGTAAAGTACTAAGTAAATACAAACAATTACTTAACATATAACAGTGATTTGTTTCACAAAATTAATTTTTTCTTAATATTAAATTTGATTTTTATGCTTTTCAAAAAAAAATTCAGTTTACAAGTGTGTTGTTATAGATTTCACCATAGAGATTGTGTAAAATCGTTTCAATTATGACATCTCGATACTCGGTTTTTAATTTCTAATGATTATGAAGTATAGTAAATGAAAAATTCTTTTTATCCTATATTGATATTTTTCGAATTAATGAAATTCTTCGAGTGATATGCGATTATAAAGAGTAGTATATCTAGTTTAGAATTTCTTCACTACAAGGTTCAATATCTTAAATAAAAACTTAAATTAAAAATCGTCCAATGTTTTGTCATTCTTACTATTTTGTGTCTTCTTTATGTTGGAAATAAAACTTATGTTACATACTTATTGATTGATCAACATAAAATAGAAATGAATATGATTACATACAAATATGATGTTCAGACTTATGCTTTAACTAATAATAATTATTATATCTCATTTTCATGTATAAATCGTTGAAAAATGGATTAAACCATTCAGTCATTTTATTACAATGATTGCCACTTCTAAAAGCATCCCTTATCGCATAAACACGCTCGTACACGACCGTAAATTGTTCTATATTGACGTTTGACAAGACTTACTATTACGATCGTATCTTTCCGTATTGTATACAGAGAAAGTCTTAATATTGAGTCATGTAATCTACCGAAATACGATCGTTTACGATGAAATATTGAGTGTATATGAATTTCATACTTCTCATCCTGGAATACTATTCCTTGGTACCCACCCTACGGAGTCAGTCGTACTACTACTGATACCTATAGTCATTTTGTGCCATACTTACCATATCTTCTGTTATAGCAGAGATACCCTATATCCTATTGTGTCAGTCTAGGTGAAATAAATAAAGCATGTTTTTCTTGTTCGCCAGAGGAATGAATAAGAGAAAGTTGCCTCTTCTTCACTGAAGAAAGCTTATGTGAATACAATGGCAAATGACATCATATTCGAAGTTGTAGGATCGTTTACGCTAGACATATATGCATTATACTTCGTCGTATTCGGCTTGATGAGATCCGATCATAGATAGTCTTATTTTATACTATAAACAATCGCATATGACGTTGTATACGACCATTTACGACTATCGTAGTGCTTCTCCTAAGTTCATAGAAGCTACTTATCACAAATAATTTTCCATCAAGGTTTGAAAAATGGTAGAAATTCTCGACTCCAAAAATTCCAACATAGAGCCAAAATGACAATAAAAACATTCACTAATCGTCACTATCTTTTGAAAAAAGAGAAAGCTATTGTATTCTTCAACATTTTTACTATGCAAAAGACCAAAGACGACAAGTGAGTGTCAACAAAAAAGTGTCCTGAAGTAAATACACGTAAGCGCTGGTCTATCTTTTGTAATATCGTGGTAGTACATGACTATTTACGTTCCAAAGAACGAGATGAAAAGACAACACAACGAAAAAGAATAATCGTAGTCTGAAGATTGCATGATGTTGTATACTTACTATAACTATACGTCTCTGAAGGTATGTAGAAAAAGGTTTCATTCTCATCTAATGACTTATTACTGTTAGATTATAACGAATGTGTTTCAGATATTACTGGATATTGATCAAGTTGGAGATTATTAATTTTTCATAATTTTTACTATGTAGTACTTATAAATTTCTGTTTCGACGCGGTTTGATTCACTATCGCAATTCGTTATGAATTTAAATATGAGACTGGTTAATTCTTTTATTACAATTTTGATGACATTTTTATCTCAATATTAAATGTACATTCATGTCTCCATTTTCTGTCACGCGAGATTAAAAATAACTTCGAGATTAAACCGTCTGTCTAAAATTAATCGGGATAACGTTGAACGAAAGCCAGTAAATGGGAGATAAAATCGTCAAAAAAAGATGAGAAAATCCTATTATTTTTTGTTAAGAAAAAATATAACATAAAACTTGAAAATCTAGTTGTCACGCGAGATTTTATTGGTAAATGTCACGCAAGATTATTATGCGCATAGCTGTCTCACAATTTAGGTCAGAATAGATATATATCGCTTGACTTCACATTAGAGGAGCTATAGATAGTTATGCAAATTAATCCTAGTTTGTGTATCACAGATTAATAAGTAAAAATCAAATCTATTTTGAGAGAAAATCATGCTGTTTCAGCCTCTAATTCTAGATCAAACAGGGTTCCTCATCACGAAGAAAAGATTCAACTTTAAAATTTAAAATATCGTCGAAAAATTCAACTGAAATGTGTACTATCAAAGTTGTTTGACCTTGAATTTTTAAACAATATTTAAAAAAAAAAACCTTTCGTATCTTTGGCAATTTGATAGTAATAGTCAGGAAAATTTATTCATATTCTTCTCTCATATACTACCATAAAATGCACTAATCACTGTTTTCGAAATCGAATTAATTTTTTTCTAATCCATTTTTTTTCCATAGAACGGTACAATTAAGTTGTAATGTACTTATATATTTTTCATACTTTTTCTTGACGTAGAAAGTTGAAATTTTCAGTTCTCTAGCTATAACCAGTAGTGAAATATATCGGTAAGATTAAAATACATAAATTTTCGTACTCATTTTTTGCATTATTTTCACTTTCAAAATAAAAACCTTTCTTTATTGCTATGTCCAATTGAAAGCCAACAATTAATATAGAATTCAACTAATATATATTGAATAA